TGCCCCTTTGGATTTCAATTGTCACCTTCTACCTATTATTTTCCATCTAGCTGCTCCATTTATCGAATAGACCATCATGCTGCTAGATTACCTTCATTTTTCAATAAAAAAATTGTAATTTGATCTTTAATGCAAATCCATCTTTATTGTTCTAAACCTTTGAAACTCTTAACTTGATTTAGCCTTAACCTGCCCCAAGAGCAATTGTAGATCGATATGGTTTATCTTTAATTATATCTCACAAATTTTCTTTTTCTTAAAGATTGTTGCGATTCATTATTCTCTTTTCCTTCCCCCCCTCAAATGGCTACTCTAGTTATCTGTGATATAGGAAGTTATTGGCCAATACAATGAGTCCATATATTCTCTTACATGTATCTTGGTCAAGCATCTTCTCTAGACGGCTGAGTTAAATGGTTTCACCAATTTAACTGTAAGCGGTGGTGTTAATTCTGACTTTTTATTTAGTCATTTAATCTAGGTTCTTGACATTCGTTCATTGCTGAAGTAATGTCAGAATGAGGAAGTTGCACATTGTGGGTGAACATAGCAACAATTCCTATTTCAGGCAAGCATTGAACACAGGTGAAAATGTAAAGAATATGGTTAAAGATAAATCAATACTCTCTTCTCTGTGGCTTGTTTCCTTTTCTTCTGGAATTTGATTTTCATCCTAGGGACACTGGCATTGTGTATGAACCCAGGCATGATGTTGGATGCTCTCCCAGTTGCAACAAGGTTGTAAAAACACTTTCAGTTCAGTAATTTTGTGAGTCTGCATTTGCCTTCTTTTTGTTGCATGAAAATTTTAATGGTGTACCGAGCACCAATGTCATGACCATAAAAAAACATGTCACTAATTTTTTTGATTTCCGGAGGGAATTGTGATTAGCTAGAACTCTTTATTTTTATTTCTTGAAAATAAGAAATATATTTGTTCAACATGAATGAGAAGTATCCATGATTAATTTATAGTTTTAGGTTGAGTTATATGTTATTTTTCATTTTGGTTCGTGTTTGTTAACATTTTTTTTTCTCTCTCTTTCTACCTATATTGACTTCAAACTTTAGAAAAAACAATGGGAAAGGATCCAGCTTGCGACTCATTCTGGGACATATTTTGCTGATTACTGGTTTATAAGTCTCGTATAATTCAAAAGTGTTTGAGACAGGTCCAGAAACTGATGATCAAGCTAAAGTTATACGAGGGAAGGCTATGCTTCGCAGACATGGAGTCGCTTGATAATGCTGTACATGTTGATTATTTTCAAAATAATTTGAAGATCTGTATCGAGTTTCAATTGTTGTCTATAACATATGCTCATGCAATGGTTTGGTTGTCCTTCTTGGTCATGATGTAAATCTGTGGAACACTTCAAAAAGATCATCACGTTATCAAAACTCCTCAGTACTGTCAAATTGAAATGTTCCCACAGAGGATCATTTGCCTGTAGTTTTGGATTTGACTTTCATGATTATTGTAATTACAAAGTAATTATCATGTTTTCTGATTCGATGGTTTCTGTTATCTGAGAAGAGGAAAAGGCTGCATGAAGTTTGGATATTGAATTCATCCAGGGTTTTGTTTTTAGTAAAATCCTAAAACAAGGGATTTGCTTCTGGTGCCTCCCCTCTCCTCGCACCCCACCTTCTCTTTTGTGTGTAATAGCAGCAGCTGGACCACCGTCTTGTCCAGAAGCGAATTGATGTGCCTTTAGTTCCATCGAACGAAAAAGCAGATGCCCAATGAAGTATATCGAGGGCTTGCAGTAGGTATTGGCAAGAGGCCCATCACTAGTGGGCCTCCTATTTTAGCAATTAAAAAATATTTTAAAAGTAACTTTTATTATTATTTTTTTTTATATTTATACATGTTATTTCAATGATTAACTTTTTGTATTATTCAAATAATTAGTCTTTTTATTTATTTAAGATTTATAATATTGAGTGTATTTACTCATTTAATACTATATAAAAGTTATACAAAAATATTGTTTCTATATCATTACTCCTTAGCAATTGACTCATTTTTTTTTAAAAAAAAAATCCTTAAAATTTCTCCAAGACCTTGATGCCTACACTATTCGCTTGTGGTTTTCGTTTTTTTTTTTTTTTATACATTTTCAGGGTTAATTGTTTATTATTATAAAGATTTGAATCATTAATTTTAATTCTAAATTAAAATATTTAAATTAATAGATACTAATTCAACTAAATTTATTGATAGTTTTCACTTTGGGTACCTAGGTGAGTGGATAATAAGTGGTGTGTTTCTCGGAGATTACCTCCTCTCTTATTGACTATCAGCATTGCTCTAAAAGCTGGGCGAAGTAGCGTGCCACCGCCTTGCCTAAGCGTCTAGGAGGTGGGCTTAGACATTCACATCGTGCTTAGACCTTAAGAGTGATTAACCACGCCTGTATAACATACACGCTTGATTGCTTTTGATTGCCTTTAAGGCATACTTCATTATGTATCAATGACAAGAAAAACGCATTACACAACTTTTGTGTTTTGATTCTAAATTAATATTAAATATATCTTAAACCAAATCATTCCTGAAAACCTTTTGAAAAAAAAAAAAAAGCATGAAAAGCCAGGGAAGGCTGCCGTCCCTCCCTCCATCCGTCTTTCTACCTCCCCTCCCCTCCCCAATCCTCCCCTCTGCCTTTTTTCCCCTTCCCTTCAATATTCCTTGCCTACTCATTTTCTCCTTCGTTGTTTCCCTTCTTGCTTTTGGCCCCCTCATATTTTTTCCTTTGCCCCCTTCATTCCCTTTCTACTCTGTGCTTAAAGCAAATCTACTATTATTTAAGGTAATTTTCTCTCAAATGTGTCAAGTCCATCATTGCCAAGTTTTATAGGACAAATGAGGAATAATAATCGGTGGTGGCAAAGGAGTTTGGATTCTGA